ATTGATTTAAAGCATTTTTAAAAACAAAAATGATCTATTTTCTGCCTAATTTAACGAAAACAATATGAACTCATCGGCACATCCGATACGAATAAAATTAATTAAAATACGTGCATAGATATTACATACCACTGATGTGAGATCTTTCTCTCAAGATCTATTCTTTTCTGCGTAATATATTCACTGTACCCATGTTAATATATTTACTCTGTTCATAAAAAATAAATAAACTAACCATTTGTTATGCACAAACTATTATCATGGTTCACTAAAAACGGTACAATAAGTTTTTTTGCTTAGTAATTTGTTTAGATATTTTTTTTTTTTCATAAAAAAACGTTGTTCACAGTATGAGAAGTAATTATTAAAATACAAAAATTTGTTCATAACATTTAATATTTATAGACGTGCTCATAGCAATTAAATATATTATAGTGACCCCGATGTAGATAATTTATCTACAGTGTGATTGCAACGTTCTACTAAAAAACAATTATGGGTTTCTTAGCAAAAAGGATGAGTGTGCGGTAATTTAAAACAAAAAGGACAACAAAATCGTGTTTTAATTATAAATATTCTAACGCATTTTAAATGACCTTTCTAAATGAGGCATAACACAGACTTGACCGCAATGGGCGTACCTTGGCTTTTGTGGTTCCCTCCAAAGGGGGTCCCCTACAACCATAGACCGACTAGTAGCGCTAGGCGCTAATTGCACTTGACCGCAACGTAGATTTCACTACTTGAATTGGCTAATTTTTTTTGGGAGGGAATCTGAACCTTTTTATTATGTTCTGAGTTCCTCTTTCCCATCTACCACGTAACTCAGTAACAATGAGTACATTTAATAATGATATTACATTGTAAATGTTAAGGAATACAATATAAGAGAAGTGTTGCTCATAAAAGTAGAAGTGAAGTGAAGTAATGATCCAAAGAAATAGTATATTTGGCCACAATGGAGATATGATTACTTTGACTACCTAACATAACCTCACTACATTAAAGGGCTGACTTTTTTGGTAGGAAGTCTAGACATAGCCATAAATTGGTCTTAGAGTAGTCCTAGGTACCCAAAACCATTCCAAGTAGGTAACCCTACCGCCTCTATCGATTCTCGGTGACGGATTGCTCAAAAGATGTCTCCTCCTCCGAAATAACAACCCTATTCACGGTTGCTAAGTTTATAGCCGGCCGTCGGTGGCCGTTGCTATGCCAATCAAGTATCAAAAACAACTTTATTATCTTTCTAATTTTAAATCTAATATCAATAAACCCTATTATACATTTTTACTATAATTTTAAAGAGATTTTGTTTATGATCAATTTCACAAATATTTATGGGAAGGGCGGGACTAACACGAATCGTGAAAAAAAACTATTTTTTTACAGTTAAAAAAAACCATACGCGTTTTTAAGTTGGACTTTATATTTATTTGGTATGCCCGCACACGTCAGTTGTATCAAATTTAAATTAAACTCATTTCCCGGCCCCTAGGGGGCTCCAGTTTATTTTTTTTTTTAGTTTTTTAACAAAAACACCTAAAATCTTTAAAAAAAAATTTATCAAATCATTAAAACAATTTGATGTATATCTATGCAGAACGATATAATTAAGTTTTGTGCACAAGTACCACTTTTGACTTTAAGTTTACACAAACTCAATTTTTTTTTTTTTTTTTAACTTAAAACCCGGTGTACCAGAGGTGAGAAACGAACAGACAATAAAAACTGTCAGTTGGTAACGTCTAACCTTGTTAAGTTAGGTTAGGGCCCATGGTCATTATCATAATATTGTATTTATTACATGATATCACAGACGACTTAATCTTGTAACTGATTATAGTATACACAAGATTTATTGGGGAAAAAACCTATCCATGTACTTATTAAGACACTTAATGATTCTGATACGATAAAACCACTGTCGTTATCTCGTTTTTTTATGGCCTGCGTTATATTACCTTACCGAAGGTCAACTATGAGTATATAAGGTCCAACTACCTGCAAATTATGAAGAGGACTGTTGTTTTTGGATTCAGATTAAGTGTTGGTTTTTATGCAGTATACCGTCCCAAAATGTATTTTTTATTACACAATTTTTTTAAAGGAAAACTATTGTTTTGCATATTGTTATACTGTTATTCATTTAAAGAGATTCACGCTTGATTGTTTAAATTTACTTATATAAGAAATGTAATCTGCTTCGTGCTAGTTTTAATTTTTAAGTTTATAATTTTGTAGCTCTAATTTTGTATAAAATATTTAATTATTTTATAACTGTGTTCAAGTTAAGATATATTTTAATAGTATTTAAAAGTCATGAATGATAGTACTTTATTTTATGACTAGATCAAATCTCGTGAACATTTTACATCATGTTACTGCTCCTATACTATTATTAAAAAACACAATTTTTAAAATCTCCATAAAAGGTTATTGTTAAATAACAGGCAACAGACGACCGCTAATGGCTACACACGTTAGTAATATTTAACTAATAAGTAATATATGTAGGTAAAATTTATTATTTTCTCCATCACAGTACCAGTATACGATTTATTTTAATTTAAATGTAAGAAAATCAATTTTTCTTTAGAAAATAACAAGAAATTAATATACAGGATGGGGCAGCAAAACGGCGTTTTTCTAATGTATTTAAATGGGAAAACCCGTTTCACTATCTCACCCTTCATATTTTAAGGATCTATGAAAAGGTTTTTTTTAGTTGCATTTTCTTTTGTACATTGTAAATCTAGTAAAATAGAAGTTTAATATAGCTTTGAAATAATATAACCTATGAAGTATAAATAGTTTGTGTGAGATTGCTCTAATAGAAGTATATAATACATAAATATTAATTTTATTGAGAATAAGCGATTATAATTTAAACTATGGAGTACAAACGATTGAAACATGAATCGTCGACTATTCCAACAAAATATAACAAGACATTGTATATGTGTTATTTGGACCACTACATTTTTGCAAAAAAAAAAACCAGTACAGTGGGGTCGGAGCATAGTGGGGACGGAGCATAGTTGGGTCGGGCATAGTGGGGACGGGGAGGTCACAGGTTTACAGGAATTTTTAAATCTGAAAGTGATAAAATCACTTTCGAAAAAACGCTTCGATGCAAATGTAGTTAGTATTTTCAAGCCAGTACAGTCCAAACCAAGCACAGTATAAACCAGCAAAGTTAGAAAGTTTTAAATTAAGGTTCTGTATTTACAAATGAGCATCAAAGAGTTTATTTAAAAGCGATTTTATTCAATTTTATCACTTTTATTTATAATAATTCATGTAGACCTGTGACCTCACCGTTTCCTCATTGCATTATGCCAATACTCTACTGTACTAGTCCTCTCGGATAAAATCACTTTCAAATTAACGCTTTGATGCTCATTTGTAAATACAGAACCTTAATTTAAAACTTTCTTACTTTGCTGGTTATACTGCGCTTGGTTTGCACTGTACTGGTTTTTTTTTTTTGCAAAAACATAGTGGACCAAATAACACATATACAATGTCTTGTTATATTTTGTTGGAATAGTCGACGATTCATGTTTCAATCGTTTGTACTCCATAGTTTAAATTATAATTGCTTATTCTCAATAAAATTAATATTTATGTATTATATACTTCCATTAGAGCAATCTCACACAAACCATTTATACTTCATCGACTGTGATGAAAAAAATAATACATTTTACCTACATATATTACTTATTAATTAAATATTACTAACGTATACAGCCACTAGCGGTCGGCTGTTGCCTGTTATTTAACAACAATCTTTTATGGAGATTTTAATAATAGTATAGAAGCAGTATCATGATGTAAAATGTTCACGATGTTTGATCTAGTCATAAAATAAAGTACTATCATTCATGACTTTTAAATACTATTAAAATATATCTTAACTTGAACACAATAATAAAATAATGAAATATTTTGTACAAAAATAGAGCTACAAAATTATCAACTGAAAAATTAAAACTAGCACGAAGCAGATTACATATATTATATAAGATAATTTAAACAATCAAGCGTGAATCTCTTTAAATGAATAACAGTATAACAATATGCAAAACAATAGTTTTCCTTTAAAAAAATTGTGTAATAAAAAATACATTTTGGGGCGGTATACTGCATAAAAACTAACACTTAATCTGAATCCCAAAAACAACAGTCCTCTTCATAATTTGCAGGTAGTTGGAACTTATATACTCATAGTTGACCATAGTAGATAGGTGTATACAACAGGCATAATATAATCTATATGATAAATTCTAGCCAGAAATTCGTGGGCCCCAGATCCAGTATATAGTTATAGTTTTTTTAGTATTTTCATTTTGTTAACAAAACAGAATACCTTTCAAAAAACAACCTTATTTTTGATAAAGAACAAATCATATAATTTGTTATTTTTTATGTAGATTTTGCTTTTTAAAACACAGAAATTTAAGCTAATATGTAAAATACAAGTAGTATTAATATACTATACTTAAAATAGTTTATGATAAAACTCAAGGACCTTAAGTTATTCAAAAAAACATTTAGAATCTTTTAATTATAGTTAAATATTCTGTTTACACAATAGCTAATAGTCAACTAGAAAACAAGATATACATGTGTAACAAGTCATTTCTTTAGCACATATTTTTAATTACAAAGTAATTTGGTTTCCCCCCTGAATAGTTTAACATATAAAAGCTTTTTGGAGTGTAACAAAATTTATTATTTGTGGTGGGAGGGCAACTAATACGAATCGTGAACAAAACTTGTCGTCTATATCAGAATATAGTAATGTTTTCTGTAAAACGGTTTTTAATATGCTCTACAATCGTTTCTTGTAGCTAGGTACTCTTGGCATTTTAACAAAAACATGTTTTTGCAACTAAATGTTCACAACAACAGAAGTTCAAACTACGTCAGAGTAATGTAAATAAGAAAACATACCGAACAAAACAATCCTGCTTGAAGTTAATACATTTTCATGGACAACTCTGCATAGTACGTTTAGTTTTTCTGTACCGTTCGACCTAATAACAAGCATTGTAAGTATGCCTTTAATATCTTTTTATTAGATTTAGTTTTCGGGTTAAGAATAGGTGTAAAATTGAATCGTTAAACCATAGTCATTATAGTACAAATAGGTATTTTAATAAAATTTTAAAAAATAAATATATTACGTACTGCTATAAAAATATTTCTAAACATTAACATGTTTAAAATATAGACGAATTATTTTCATCGTTATTTTTATTATATAAAGTTGATTTTAACAGAACTCCTATTTTTGCGGATTGAGTTAATTTCATTTAAGTAACCAAAAAGCCAGTACAATGAGGTCGGGGCATAGTGGGCACGGGGAGGTCACAGGTTCACAGCAATTATTACAACTGAAAGTAATAAAATAATTTTCGAATAAACGCTTCAATGCGAATCAGAAGTTAGTATTTTCAAACCAGTTAAGTCCAAACCAAATCCGGTATAAACCAACACAGAAAGTAAGAATTAAAGTGAGATGTAGTGTTTAAAAATCAGCATCAAAGCGTTTATACAAAAGTAATTTAACAGTTGTATTAATAATAATTTCTGTAGACACTAGACCTATGTTTAAGTGTTAAAATCGCTTTTAAATGAACGCTTCGATGCGTTTCTATGGATAGTAAGTTCATACTTGTATAGTGTAAACCAAGTACAGTATAAAGAAATTATTTTATGCAAAACAAAAAAAAAAATGTTTTCGTCACTGCAATGAAAATATATAGCCATGCAGAAAAAAAGAAACCACCTGTTAGCCACCCATGTAAACTAACAAAGGTTCCTACACTGCAAAATATATTTAGAAACACAATGTTCTTGAATATAAAGTTATGCGAATAAAAAATTGTCTTCCTATAATAAAAGGTTTTATATGTTTTTTAAATTTAGAATATATTAGATGTAGAATACATTTTTATTCGACATTTTTCAAATAAATATTTTTTTAAATTCTTTGAATAAATGTACTTGAATAATGTGATGAATATTGAGATAAAGTTTTTTTCAAATGATGCAACACTGCAAATAATTTAGGCAAAGTTTAATATCAGTTTTTTTAATGCGTAGTTTACATGTAGATGTAACGTGAGTCACGGTTTGAGGAAGAGATTTAGGTTTAAGTCAGTAATTTTAACGCAAACTTACGACTGATTTTCTAATTTGTATTATAAAACAACACAAATAAACAATTTTAAACAAAAAAGAATAGTTAATGTGAACAATTTACAAAAAACTTATTAGATACTCTGAAAAACACAACGGTAATTCATTAGACAAGACGGATGCTCTGCTGTCACACGACTAACTATATTATGAGTTAACACAAATAAACAATTTAAAACAAAATGGTTATGTACACAATTTACAAATAACTTTAATGATACTCTGAAACTTAAGTAGATGCTCTGAAAAACTTAGATACTTCATAAGACACGACTGATGATCTGCAGCAAAACGACTAACTCACCGATTTAAATAAATATTATGTCAAAATTTTTTAATTTTTAATAATGTATAAAGTTAAAATAAAATTAAAAAAGTTATAATTTAACAAATTAATGTTTAAAAAATGAGTGGTAATTACAGTTTATTGTACCATATATTTATTTAAGAGTGTGGTAAAAACAATTACTCAGTCCTACTCAAAAACTTAAAGGACTTACTCATATTTCTTTAAGTGTCAATTAACGACGTTTACTTATATTTTTTTTTTTACCAAAACATAGATTCAAATAGCTAATACTATCCTTAAATTTATTATTTTTTACAGATAAAAATGAAACTCTTTTGGTTTATAGTATCATGTGTCATTGTAGTTGTTTCAACAGATGTGTTAAGTAACTATTTTGTTTTCACGCTTATGTATTTAATTTAGATAACAAATTACAGAAATTCAGTATTTTCCATTATTATTTTTATTCAGTACTTACCTACTTACGGTAGTAGAATAATTAAAAAAAAAAATTAATATTTCTTTTTTTTTCAGCGGATTATAAAAGATCCGTCTCCATTACAAGTCAGTAGAATTTTAATTTTATAAAAATAACGTTTTTATAAATATTTTTTTTATTTATGCATTACAGCTTACCACTTACAGCGTGCTAATGAAATGACTGTCATTAACAGACAAACTGGTTTGGTGGAAAGTAATATATATTTAAAACTAATTCACTAATACATTTTTGTTTTGTTATGTTTGGCTGACGGTCGAGCTATTTATAAATTAAAAATTATTGTTTCTATAAACAGTTTAGAAAGGTGGACGAGGTATACAGAATCAATTTTTTTAACACTGTCTGACTTGTTAAATATATAAATATCAAATAATTTATAATTATATTTAATAGTAGTATAGAGGTTTTTATAATTTAGTACACTTGGCCTTAGGCAGTGACTACTCAATCTTATAGGGGGAGTAGCGGTTGGGTAAATTGTCAATACAAAATATATGTTGTAAGCATGTGTTTACTCTGATAATTTGTAAATTTATTTAGGGTTTGTTTAAACATTTTTTTTTATTTCAGACGCATTGGAGTATGTGATTGAAAAAATTGTTGATAATCCTAATTTTAGTTTAGGTATTTATAATACATTACATTTTTAGGTATTTACATAACATTAATTTATGTTATGTTCATTTTAGAATATATGAATAATATGTTCGCTGTACCTGGTAATATTTTTAAAGAATATAATAGAATTAATTCCATACAGTTGTTTGATATTCGTTGAGTACGCAATGTTTTTGTTTTATTTTCAGACTTTATCTTTAAAAGAAGCTGGACTAGTAACTACAAATTTATATACCATATTTACAGTAGTTTACACAAATTAATTTTATTCTATACACATTATAGAGGATAATCATAATATTAATACAATATGCATCACAAGATATAAATAATTACAATTTATTTTATGTAAATTTACAGATCTCGAGGAAATCCAGGAGGCGTTACGATCCAAATTACGTATTTACATACGTAAATATAAAATTTAAACATAAATTGAAACGTTGTGTTTAGAAATAATTTTATATGAATACTAAATTTTGTATTAATTAATCATAGTTTAAGAGTAACTGTATAGTTAATGTATAAAAATTATTTTTATTGACTGTGTAACAAATTGACTATTGATATATTTGTTACAGAGTTTACTTTTCCTGATGATCCTGACCCAAGTAATTACGAACTTTTTGATAATTGTTATTAGCCTTAAAGACTTTTTTAGAATATAAATTTGTATTTATATCAAAAGTCGATCATGTAGCTTCGGTCCGTAAGAGATAGGAAAATACAATAATAAATTAGTGTATTGTAGATGAAAATGAACGTAGGAGGAAAGAGAGGAAGAGGACAAACGAACAAATTTGGCTGGGTGCAATTGAGAATGTGATGAGGACTACTGGTGTATTTTGTTGGTATAATTTTGAGTGCAGGTTTAGGAAAAAGGTAACCGATCCCAAATAGTTGGAATCTATGTGAAGGAGGAGAAGAAAAAGTTATTCTATACATATAAATAGATATTATAAACTGTTATATTTTTTTATTTTTTTTTATGGAGTAGGCTTCAGCATTAGTCATTAGCCGTTTGCATATGTTTACATGATTTTTAGATATTTACAATAATGGTGTATATGTATTTTTTTAGTGTTCTGTATATGGCTATTCTTACTCCGGTTTCGGATTGTGATGCATCAGTATAGATCTGTTGATTTCAAGAAATTAGGTTTGAATGATGTTCTAAACCTTGTTTAGAGAAGTTTCCTGATCTGTATTTGGTTTTTTAAACTCTGTTAATTTTGTATTGCCTCTTGATTGGTCTATTTTCCAGTGTGGATAGTTTGATGTTTTTATGCGAATAGTCTCTATTATTGGAAGCTGGACTGATTTTTTATGAAACGTTGTAGTAGTTAGCGGTGTCTTTTATTGTACGGTGTTTTCTAAAACTACTGTGTTCTATAGCTTAGAGTTTGTTTGACTCTAAGAACCATCTGATTCTAGTGTCAACTATTTTTCCAAGTGTTTTACTCATTGTGCACAATACTGGATGACGATGTTCGGGCTCAGACTTGTCTTTATTTAGTTTGGGTATAGGAATAATTATAGCGGTTTTCCCGCTGGAAGAAAAGTTACCTGATGACCGGATTGTGTTTTACATGTTTAGTAGGGTTTGTGTGCTGAGCAGTGAAAGTTTTTGTAAGATAATAAATGGTATACCATCTGGTCCAGAACTTTGGATTTTTCTGCCTTGGAGTGTTTTATATAGTTCTTGCATTGTTGAGTAGATGTTTTTCCATATTTCCCCTAAGGTCGAATTTGTATTTAAGGTAGATATAAGGTCATGCCATGATTTGGTTTTGTTACTTGCCTGGATTATGCCTAGGTTTGTTTTAATTTTATGTTGTCTTGCATTGTATATGTTTTTTCGGTATCAAATTAAAGCTTACTTGTAGTCTTTTATTGCTACTGCACAGACATTATTCCACCACGGTACTGTTTTTGGTCTGATAAAGTGTTTTTTATCTAGTTGAAATTTCAGCGGTTTCATTGAAGACGTTGTAAGTTTGTTGATAGTTTCATTGATATAATCTGGATTGATGTTTATTGGGATATTTCCTAGGCAATTGACTCTATAGGTTCCAATTAGGGTTGGTTCAGATACCATTTTTAGTTGTTGTTTCGCCACTGCTATTATGAGTTAATGATATTCCATTCTATATTGAGGCTGAGCTGGGTATTGGCTATAGTCAGATCTTCGACTGAAAAGGAGCCGTTTGCTGCGTTATAATGTGTGGGTTCATTGTTGGGAAGAATAAATTGTCGTCTTTGAGTATTTTTTCTACTGTTTTACCTCATGTTTAGGTAGATTTTCTACCCCAAATGATGTTGCAGCTATTGAAGTCTTCTAGGATGATGAAAGGAGGTGGAAGTGGGCTTATTAAGGTTCAAAGGTTCTTAAAGTTTAGGGGAGAGCTATCTGGTGCATAAATATTACACATTTTTTG